AGCCGAGCGGCGTGCGCGCGCCCGGCCGCCAGGAGCCCGGTTCCCGGGGAGGCGTCCCCGCGGTGCCTGAAAGTTCCGTCTGCAGCGCTTTCCTCCAGCGCGGCGCGCAGCGCGGAGTCGGGAACTAGCTGAAGGGCCTTGTACGGGAGGCGGTGCGGGGAGACAATTCCTGGAAGAACTGGGGACAGTTGGTGGGCGGGGTTATTTCGGGCATTCAGGTGGGCGACCCGCCGAGGCTCCGGGAAGGCCCGGGTAGTTAGGGAGTGAAGAGCGGCGTCCGTGGTTACGGGGTCGGGCAAAGGGCAAAGGGCAAAGGGCAGCTTCCAGATTGCAGAGCACCTCCTTTGAGCGATGGCCGCGTCAGGGGACCCCGGGAGGCAGTGGCAGGAGGAGGTGGCCGCGGTGGTGGTGGTGGGCTCCTGCATGACCGACCTGGTCAGGTTAGTCTGGGGCCAGGACGCGGAGTCCGGCTTGCGGGAGGGAGCGGGCTGCGCGCCCTGGTCGCTGGCCTGGCACCGGGGCTTTGGGGATGGAAAGTGTTAGCTTTTGGTGTGAGCTACAGGTTTCCCCAGCCCGCCGTGGGGTGCAGGAGGTAGCATAAGTTTGGCAGGCGAGGGAACTTAAAGGCCAGGGTGTAGTGAATGCTCTGATGGTTCTAGAAGCGCCTCCAAAGCCCTATTCCTGTTTCCTTGACCAGGCTGCCGAGCCTCTCCCCTGACTAGCCTAGTGAGTTTGGCGAAGTCCTTTTACCCCCAAGAATGTGATGTGCCGGCCTCATTGGGTTGTCGTGAATGAAGTAAAATGAAGTAAAGGGTTTTTGCGGCCCCTAACACTATCCACGTTGGGTATTCTTCGTCTGAACTTGTATAAAATGAGTGGATCAGAGGTCAAAAAGGCGATCAGTCACCTTTCACCATATTGATTGTTGGCGTTCCTGCAGTATTTCATATTTACAGCTTATTTTATAGTAATATAGTAACCATGGATTACCTATGGCAACCCAAGTGTGAGTCAAAATAAAAACCGGTAAACACAATATTTACATCCATTTTTAAAAGTGATCCAATAACAAAAGAAAATACAAGAAATGAAAATAATTGAGATTAGATGGGAGATCCTTTCAGTTTTTCTTCTTTTTTAGTGAAAGTGACTTTTCTGGTTATAAAAGTAGTATTCGTTGTAAAAAGAAAAAAAATAAGAAAAATAAAGATCAAATATTCCAAGAAAATCCTACCACCCAGATTGCTTCAGTTTAATATTTTAGTGAATAGGTCTTCAGATACAGTGCTACTTTTATATTATAACAATTTTAAATGATCAGACATACTACAGTAAGACCTCACATGTCCTGCAACCTTTCTTTTCCAAAGGATAGCAGAAAACCTGGAAGGAAATAAAAAGGCCTTGAGACAATGAAAATAAGTCACCAAATCCCTGTGCCAAACTGCCTGTGTTTTACCTGGAAAATAGTTTTAGGGTCTTCACATAACCAATTTAATCTTACATGGCTTAAATGTTTATAAGCTCACATTCCAGGCTGAAATTAGAAAATTGGAGAGTAGAAAGGGGAGAGACTACTAGGGGCAGATAATAGTGATTGCCCGAAGCCTGAAAGTGAATGGGAAAGTCTAACAAGAAGTTAAAAAAAAGAAAGAAAGAAAGAATTTTAAATGCCAGTAGCCTTTGTTTTTCCACAAATATTTGAGCTACCTTGTTAGACACTGTGCCAAGATAGATGTGCTTCCTTTGGCGACAGAGTATAGCATTCAGTCTAGTTGTCAAGAGGCCTACACATCTTTTTGTAGAGTAAGAGTCAGCAAACCTTTCTGTAAAGAGCCAGATAATAAATATTTAGGGTCAATTCTTTCTTCTTCTTCTTTTTTTTAACAACTCTCAAAATGTAAAAACTATTCCTATCCCCCAAGCCTTGCAAAAACAGCCTTCAGGCCATAGTTTGCTCACTGTTCTCTAGAGCATCATTGTCTTATAGCCCAATATAGTAATTGATGTTAGTAATATGACTCTTTTCAAGAAAAGATAAATATGGTACCCATTACAATTTATGTAAATGTAGGGCATGTGTTTCTTTTTAGAAATAGTTCCATCAAAGATATTGAAAGTTTGTTACCTAAAGGAATAACAAACCTTCAATAAACCTTCAGACATCTAAAATAATTTATTCTTTAGAAAATCCATCTTGCTAAATTTTTACCATAGGTGAAGTGGCAGAAGAGTAAGAAAGCTAAACAAGTTTCCCAAGTAACCAACCCAAATAAGAGTGCCAGGGTCAAAATTCAGAGCCACTTTCTTGTTAAACTAAGTCAGAGCTTTCTTCGAAGCTTGGTCATCAGACATTAAAGGTAATTATGGTACTTCCTAAAATGAATATTCTTTAACTTTGGGGAGGGTAGGGTGTCAAAGACCCATGTTAGCATCTGTCAGGATTTTTAAATCTCATTTCAGAGCTAGAGGAATTTAGAAATTACTTATCCCAGCCCTTCAGATTATAGTTGAGTAAATGAGATCTTAAATTGTGGATCACCTCTCTAATGTCTCTTCTCTTGCCATTTTCTTTCCTTCATAAAAGGTATCTACTCTTCACATGAATCACTAGTAAAAATTGTATTCCCCTATAGACTCTCTCCCATGACTTTTCTACAAACTTCACTTGGTATCAGACTACTTCTGCCTCTGAAGATCTTTACAAAATATCCGAGTATAGGATCTTTAGTTAAAACCCTGCATCTGTGATAAACTTGAGTCCAGCTTTGCTAATTATGATACATATCATGATTGTATTAGTTTCCTATTGCTGCTGTAACAAGTTATCACAAATTTAATGGCTTAAACCATACAAATTTAATACAATTCTAGAGGTCTGAGGTCTGACACAGATCTCACCCGGCCAAAATCAAGGTGTCTATAGGGCTGTGTTCCTTTCTGAAGGCTCTAAGGGAAATCTGTGATTTTGCCTTTTCCATCTTCTAGAGGCTGCCCACATTCCTTGACTCGTGGCCCCTTCCTCCATCGAAACCAGCATGGTCAGTCAAGTCTTTCTCATGTGGCGTCACTCTGACACTTACTTGCACTTCTGCCTCCCTCTTCTACATTTTAAGAACCCTTGTGATTATACTGGGCCCAAACAAATAATTCAAGATAATCTCCTTATTCTAAGGCATCTTATTAGCGACCGTAATTACCCCTTGTCATGTACCATAACATATACGCAAGTTCTGGGCATTGGGATGTGGACATCTTTGGGTCAGGCTGAGGGGTGGAGAGGGGCATTATTCTGCTTACCACAGTGGTTAAGCTTAAAGTCAAAATGTTTATAGTACTTAGAGAGGTTAAATAACCCACCCCAAATCACATAGCCAATTAGTGCATAGTGAAAGCTGGAATCCAGGTTTCCCAACCTTATCTTTCCATTTTATCATTCTACCTCTAACTCTAGTATTTATTGCTCTTTTCATCTACACTTCATTTGAGAGCTTGTAGTATGTAATTTTCAGGTCTAAAGATAGTGTCTTCATTACTATTCTTTATTTCTAAGTTTAACTGTAACCAGTCTGGACACCCATGTCTATATTGTAGAATCACTAGAAATAAAACTACTTCAGTAACTAAGCCCTCTTGGATGGCATCCAAGTCCAACTCACTTTATATATTACATTACTGTGTGCCAGACACTGCTAATTCAATCAATGAGCTACTTTTTTAATTCACTTCTAAGTTTAGTCCTCTATGAATAGTAAGCTCTGTGCTAATTTTTAAAATCATTAGCTCATCTAACATGGCAAACAGTGAACATTATTTAATACCTACCTGTATTTATCATCATTCTCTTCCTTCTCTAACATTCATCTCTGAAGTTCCACATTACTAAAATAAATCAAGCCTGTTCTTATGGAAAATTAAGTCAGTTCCTCCAAAGACAGATTACCATGAAAAACCAATAGTGAACTTTTTAGGACATTGGGCTTACAGGCCTTGATTAATCATGCTTGCACTAATCTTTATTTCGTATGACATGTATCACACATTTTTTCAATTATTCATTCAACAAGTATTAATTGGTTTTTATACTATGTGCCAGGCACTTTCCTAGGTGCAAAGGATACAGCAATGAAAAAAACAGCCCAAACTCCCTGCCTCATAGAGCTTATATCCTAGTGGAAGAAACAGTATTAGTAGAAAAAGTAAAATATATTGTATGTTAGATAAATGCTAAGGAGGAAAATAAAGCACAAAGGGGGGTGAGAAGCTGATTTTGACTAAAGACCTGAAGGAATAAAGGAAGCGAGCCATACAGATAGCTGGTGCTTCTCATGTGCAAAGGTCCTGAGGTAGGACCATGCCTCTTAGGACCAGTGAACTACTGGAGTTCCATGTGGCTGAGGAAGAAAATGATGGTTAAAAGCTGAATGAGATGAAAACCCATTGGTGAATTTGAGCAAAGGAGTGACATAATCTGACTTACATTTTAATATAATCACTGGGAGCCAGCTGAGAATGGACTGAAGGAAGGCAAGGGCAGAAGCAGGGAAACCAGTTCAGAATCAATCACAACAATCTAGGCAAGAAAGGATGGTAGCTTGAAAGCAGTGCACATGGGGAGCAGTGAGCATCTTTGGATTGTATCTGGAATGTAGAGCTGACAGGATTTGCTGAGGAGTGCAAGATAGGTCAAGGATTACTCCAAATTCTATGGTCTCCAAAAGCGGAAGGGGAAGTTACCTTTGCTGAGATACAGAAGATGGTGAGCAGAGCAAGTTGGGTAGGGAGAGGGCAATATCAGGAGCTTAGGGTGGGCAGGTGAGATTTGAGGTGCCTATTAGACTGAAGCAGTCAAGAAAACAGATGTATGAGTTCAGATTTTAGAGAAGAGACCCCCTGGAGATATAAATTTGAGAGTCATCAGTGTAAAGATGGTATTTAAAGCCACGAGGCAGGATGAGATCACTGAGGGTCTGAGCTTCAAGGGCACTCCAACATTTAGAGGATAACATATTTTTTACGTAATTTATCTCCTGTCTCCCAGTCTTTCTCTACCACTAAAACTTGCTTTGAGACAAGTCTAATAGAAACCCATGTTTACATTTCCATGGCAATAGACTATGACGTCAACTAAAACCCTATGTTACATGTTCCAATTAAAAGTGATGGCTTGAGAGATAAGGCTCATGTTCAGTCAAGCATCCAAATTTAATCCTTGGCAAGTCAGGAAATGATTGCTTAGTTCTTAAAAGATTTTAATTGGATAGTGGAATAAGTGAATTTAGAAACTTTTAGATCCAAAGTGGATGAAACATGGAACCTATGTTACTAAAAAATTTTAAAAAGGAAAAGACAAAAAATCAGCCAAAATTTTATATTGTATCTAGAATGTGTGTGATGTTAGTTACCCTCTAACCTGCATTGCACCAGAAGCCCCTTGACT